CTGGAGCAGCGGCTGTCCCGGTCGTACCGGCGTGGGGAGCTGGGAAAGGGATGCTCGAATGTAATAAGGAAAACTTAGAGCCAGGATGGGCTTTTTCGAGTGTCCCCTGCCATGGGAGGGATCTCCTGTGAGTTCCTGGTGTTCGATTTCAGATGCTTGGAGACCAAGATTGCAGTTATCCAAGGGCTGTTTATTCTTCCTTAAGTGTTTCTTGTGAGTCTTGCCAAGCCTAGGAGCATTGCGTTTTGGAATCTGAGAACTACGACAGCTTTTTGAAATGGGACTTGAACTGCCTCAAACCCTGCATGCCAGAGCGACAGTTTTTGGATGTAACCCTTGCGCTTCCTTGTTACACCTGAGTGCCGTGTGTTCTGTAAGCCCTGACCTGTGAGGTAGCAGCACCCATCCTTTATTTTCAGGCTCCTTTGAACAATCTGCAGTGAAGGTGCAGCCTTACTTCAGCTTCTTCCATAGACCACTTTTGTTCCTATTTTTACAGTGCACCGGCTTTTATGGAAGCACATCATGGTGCTCCTTGTGCAGGATGCTCAGGGACAGCACAGTTAGCTCCCAGCCTGGCAGGACAGTTGGCTGAGAGGGCTCCTGGAGGATCCGCACAACAGGGACAGATTAATTGTTTTGCAGCGTCATCCTGATGCCATTTTCCCCTGGAGCTTAGTGGCTCCTCCCCAGCTGTGGTGGCTTCATTGCACATCCATTGCATGGCATGTCCATACATCCATTTGTTCTCCAGGAAGGGAGGTTGCTGGCATCAGACTGCATGAATTCTCTGTCGTAGCCATTAGTTTCTTTTGTGACTGCCCTTCAGTTTTTCTCAGGAAGAAGCCTATGTGGATTAGGCTTCATGGGCAGGCGGCCCAATCTTGAGCAATCCTTTCTTCAGGGAGGAACAAGGAAAGCACCTGTGTATGGGTGTCTGTACACAGGCAGAAAGTTACCTGTATGAGATACCTTCATGTAGGTACTGTCTTGTATCTGAAGCATGTGTAATGCTTGTATACAGCTTGCATGGCAGGCATTATACATACAGATGGTAGGGACAGTGCTTCCTCACACAGGGTGTCAGTGGTTCTGTGATAGGAGAGTCAGGGGTTCCAACTTTCTGTCACCATTAAAACGGGCTGGTTGGTCTGCATCACTTTTCGGTCTGTTTCTCTGTTGCAGTACTGCTTGTTGGGAATGCTTTCTGCATTCTGTAGTAGAGAGGAAATTGAGCCTTGTTTTCTGCCTCCTGGGTATATTCAGCCATTAGGTTAATATATGACAAATATGTAGTATCTCCCTACCTTTTAACAGTGTCTTAGAAGCAAATATCTGTATGTGTGTTTGAGAGCCTCTGCACACAGCCTGAAGCTGTCATAAAGATATTTTAAGTACCTGTATGCTATAGGAAGAAAAATATGTAGATATGCAGTTACCTTTAGGCAAGAGTGAGCTCACTTTACCTGCAGCCAGGCTGGTAGCCACAGCATGGGCAGAAATCTCATGTTTGCTTGTGGTCAGATATCTAAATTTACCTATTTTATCCTTATCTCTGTGCTGGATTCAGATTAACTAGGGGCTGTCAAGGATGAGCATGGACATGTGTTGCTTTAAGGTTGCCTTAGGACTTGAAGTTTTTCTGGAATTGGCAGAACAGGAACAGAGATTTTCAGCATAGTGATATTGGACTGAAATGCCTGTACTTTTTCTTAGGTCTGTCTTCTGCTTCCAAAGCTCAAAAAATTCATGTGCTGTTGAAGTGATCTCATATGGGAAAACTAAGTTATTTCTCATTACTGTGGTTAAAATCCCTCAGAACATCAGCGTTCTCTTGCTACTTATTAGTTCCACTCTTCAAAGATGATGTTTCTTCTAAGTAGAGTCCTGGCGGGTGAAGAAAATTATTATAGTCAAATTTCTGACTGTTGTGATATATTCAGGGAACAGCAAGGGGCTACTGTTCTCAGAGAGAATATATGCAGTGCTACTGAAGTACTTACACAGAAGTAAACAGACTTAAAACACCACTAGCAACTTGGATTTGTTACACTGTAAGAGCCACTTCACCTTTTGGCTTGTCTCTTTGAAAACTGAGCAATGGAGATGGTAATAGTACCAGTGCCAGAAGGGACTGCAGTTCAGCAAGCCTGGTTGTCAGTACTTGTGAGCAAAAACTAGTTTGTGAGGGCACCTATTCCTGCTGCCACCTGTGTCACAGAACCACAGAATAGCTGATGTTGGAGGGGACCTCTGGAGATTATCTGGTTCAACCCCTTGCTCAAGCAGGCCCACCTAGAGCTGGTGGTCCAGGACCATGTCCAGACAGGTTCTGAATAGTACAGGCAACCTGTGCCAGTGCTCAGTCACCATCACGGGCAAAAAGTGTTTTTAGGTGTTTAGTTTGTTCCAGTCACCTCTGATTCAGTCCCATCACTGGGCATTGCTGAAAATAGCCTGCTCTGTCCATTTGCTTTATACCCTGCCTTCAGGTGTTTCTACACATGAATAAACAAGTGTTGCAGAGCCTGGGTTTGGAGCTTCAAATGTGACCAGTTTGTGGGCAGTGCTGGCTCACATCTCACTGGGTTCTGTGCTTCACTGCAGGCTGGCACTGATCATCCCAGGGGAGGGGAGTGAAGAGGTGAGCGGAGTTGTGCATCTAGCAGAGGAAAAGGGAGAACATCCTTTTTGGCATGTTTGGGTAACCAATAAATGCTCTTATGTCTGAGAGTAATAAATACAGTGCCATAAAAACCTGACCGTCAGCCCTTCCTCAGCACTGACTCAGCAGATTGAACATTAAGATCCCGGTATTGCAAGATGTGGTTTTTTTCATCTTCAGATTATTACTCTTCTGTTTTACAGTCTCTTCCATAGATCCAAATGCAGCTTTTAAAACAGCTGAGTTTCTTGCTCACATTATTTTAGAAGATAGTTTTGGCAATGTACTGTGCTGTTTGTAGACATGTTCTAAATTCTGGTTTCACTTGCGTAGCTAACAGAAAAATCACCCACATTTAGCTGCTGCCTGAAACTTGCCTTTCTTAGCCAGATATTAAAAAGTTCTGAATGTTTATCATATGTTACCAGATAAACAGGTTTTAAAGTTGTTTCATGGATCATTTCAAGTAAATCTTAATCCATTGTACTTATATGAATAATGCTGTTTAGTTGGCATCTGTGTAGATTTCATTCTAAAAAGTGAATAAAAGCATTACAGTATTTGAATGTCAAGTCAGAAAATGTGATAGTAAGGCTAAAACCCATCTCCTGTGTCTGGTCAATCATATCAGTTTTCATCTATATCAGTTAAGAACTAGAAAATAAATTTATATCCTTGCAATGGTAGCAATGCTTAAAATACTAAACTTCTTCTATAAGAATTTATGGTTACTGTAGGTTAAGTGGAACCATTTATCAGAACAGCCTTTTTGTTTTAAAACATATTCTGTTGCTGTTAAGCTTGAACAGAACGAAACAGCAAATTATAAGAAATATTTGAAGGAAGCAGTGACAGTGGTCAATGACTTCCAATAACTGTCAGAAAGTTCTTGTGCACATTGTACTGAAGACCTTAAGGACACAAAGTGCTGCACAAGTATTAAAATATTAAAAAGGCCACAACTTGGCAAGATTCCTGGGTGGGGGGAAGATGTGTCAGAGTTAGTTGTACTAGTATCTCTGACGCAAGTTTTTTATTAACACTTATATGTTTTTCTAGAATATGCATTTAAGGCCATAAACCAAGGTGGACTTACATCTGTAGCTGTTCGTGGGAAGGATTCTGCAGTAATTGTAACACAGAAGAAAGTACCTGTAAGTAGTCTGGTTTTGAGGGGTGGTCTGGAAGGAGAGTAGAAAAAAGGTGGGGGTGAGACTCCGCAACGTTGATATTATATTTATTAGCACTGACATATATTGTTGCTTGAATTGAATATGTAATTATCCTGCTTATTACAAGTTCTAGATCCATTTAGTGCTCAGCTGTGAATTTCCTCACCAAATACTGCAATATTGGTTTCCTCTGTAGTTGTTGAAGAGATAAAGCTAAAATATAAAGTTGATTCTGCTGTACTTTAGCATGCATACATTGCTCTGGCTTGTAAGGGCTGAGTTGTCCATAATCAGTTCCCTGATTTCTTTAATTGCTACTGAGAAAATGTTATACCAATAGCATGCAGAAGAGGTTTTCATGAGTGTTTTGGCTCAGTGATGATGTATTGTTGACAAAAGTGGTAAATTTTTGTGTCTAAAGGGGGACAGCATGTAATAAGAGAGCAAGGTTTTGTATGTGGGTTCTGAAAGTTTCTTCAGAGGGAAAAGGACTGTGATGTAGATCGTGTTCTTGCTGTTATTCTTTTCCAGATACTGCAGTTTTAATCTTCCCTGTTCTCCTATTTCTTCCTTTGCATGCCTACAGCAGTAAATGGTGGAGAGCCTGAAAAACAATTTTTGGCTGTTAGTGGGTCCTTTTGGGCTCTTCTGTAGATAGCAGAGCATCAGAGTCTGTTTTTGTTTTTTTTTTTAAACTTCAAGGACAGTGTTTTCTATTAGATTATTTTTATTTCCTCTTTAGGACAAGTTACTGGATTCCAACACAGTGACTCATTTATTCAAAATCACTGAAAATATTGGCTGTGTGATGACAGGAATGACAGGTATTTAATCACCATCTTTTTTTAAATATTTAAAGCATGTCAGTTTTTTTATGTGGTTCGCTAGCTTTGCATCATATAATATCAATAAATGCTCTAGGAGGTTTGTTCCACTCAGTCTAGTTTTGGAGAACTTATCTAATTCTAATGGGTATATTTAAAGACAGTGTAAAGTTGGACCTGGAATTTGCATTCTCAGGCAATGCTGGAAATAAACTTGGTACATGTTCAGTGAAATTAATATTCGTTCTTTCTGTCTAGCTGACAGCAGATCCCAGGTGCAGAGAGCCCGCTATGAGGCTGCTAACTGGAAGTACAAGTATGGCTATGACATCCCTGTGGATATGCTGTGTAAAAGGATTGCAGATATTTCTCAGGTCTATACGCAAAATGCTGAAATGAGGCCCCTTGGTTGCTGTAAGTATAGTCTGTGAAATTAATCTCTTCTGTTTCTTGTCTAAGCTTGCAACTTCTTGTATAAGAAATTCTCACTCATTTTCAAAATGGGCAGCTGAAGGAGTAAGAGGCATGAACAGCCAAATGAGAGAACAGCTTTGAAAGTCTTGAATTGGAGCCATGATTTTACCATTGACTCAGCATTTGAAATGATGTGGCCTCTTTAAAATGTGTGATACTGTTTCACTTCAGTTTTTGGGGCCTAGTCTGTTTGCACTGCACAGTGAGGTCTGTAAGTGTGAAATGCTCTTTTTAATGGTGTCTGTTTGTGGTGGTTTGACCTTGGCTGTGTGCCAGGTGTCCACCAAAGCTTCTCCATCACTCTCCTCTTCAGCTGGACAGGAGAGAGAAAAAATACCATGAAAGGCAAGATAAGGACAGGGAGAGATCACTCACCAGTTACCATCATGGACAAAACAGACTCAACTTGGGGAAATTAATTTATTACCAAGCAAATCAAAGTAGGATGCTGAGAAGTAAAACCAAATCTTCAGAACACCTTCCCCCTACCTTGCTTCCCAGGTTTAACTTTATTCCAGATTCTCGACCTCTCCCTCAGGCAGAGTGGGACAGGAAGGTGAGTAGTGGTCAGTTTATCACACATTGTTTCTGCTGCTGCTTCCTCCTCAGGGGGAGGACTCCTCAAACTCTTCCCCTGCTCCCTCTCCTAGGGAGACAGTCCTCCTTTATTTCTCCAGAGCGAGTCCTTCCCATAGGCTGCAGTTCTTCATAGACTGCTCCAGCATGAGTTCCTCTCTCCACAGGGCCACAGGTCCTGCCCCAATGCAGGCTTCCCATGGGGCCACAGCCTTCTGCAGGCATCTACCTCCTCCAACACAGTCTTCCAGGGGCTGCAGGTGGATCTCTGCTCCACCATGGACCTCAGTTGCCTCACCATGGTCTTCATGGGAACCTCTGCGCTGGTGGCTCCTCCCCTTCCTTCTTCACTGACCTGTGTCTTCAGAGCTGTTCCTCTCTCCTATTCTCACTCTCTATCCTGTCTGTATTTGCTTCTTTGCTTCTGACAAATAACTTTTTTTTTTCCTTCTTAAATACATTATCCCAGAGGTGCTGCCACTGTTGCTGATGGGCTCCGCCTCAGCCAGTGGTGGGTCCATCTTGGAGCTGGCTGGCATTAGCTCTGTTGGACATGGGGCAAGCTTCTAGCAGCTCCTCACAGAAGCCACCTCTGTAGTCCCCTCCATGCCAAAACCTTGCCATGCAAGCCCAATACATTGTGTCTGGGTAAACATGGCTGTTAGACAGATGGAGAGTGCAATTATGCTTGTGCAGATTTTGTGGCGGTTTTATCTAAGTAGTATGTATAGGACAGATCTGCATTATTTTTGGTCTTAACTTAGCCATCATGTATATAATGTAGAGAAGAAGTGCTAAAAATATTTCCCTTGCAAATATTTCTACAGCTTGTTTTATAACAGCAAATGCAGCTTAAATTAAAAAAAAGTTGTGTGAAAAGTCATATTTTTGTAGATATTCCTGGTCATCTGTGTGTTCTGAGGTTGGTTTTGACTTGTTTTTTCTCTTACGTTTGACTGTAAGCAAATTATAACTGTGCTCATAGGGTGTTTGGGAACTGAGGTAAAAGACTTAAGGGTTTTCTCAGCTACTGTTTCATTAACCATTCTGTCTGGGGTTTTTTTTGATTGGTTGGGTTTTGCCAGGTTTTTTTTTTCTTTTGAGAAGAATAGTTTCAGAATTGATGAATCACTTCTCATAATCATAGTAGGCACTACAACTTCTCTCTAAAGAAGCAACATTCAAGGTTGCATCACAGTTTCCATGATGGGGCAATTTTCCTATGCTTGTAATTTTCAGGAATGATTGTTTCTTTCTTCCCTTGGCATTTCCCATGCCTTGATACTACTGGAAATTTTTTTTTTAAAATACATGAATAAAAATGTATTTTTCTTGACTTCCCTTAGTCTCTTTTAAAAATATGAAGGGATTTTTTTTCTATTATATTGCTGCTCAGAAGCTTATCAACTGTAAACACTGGTAAAAAGTTACACAAGTGTAAAATGAAAATAACTGAAAATCTTGACCTTGTTCTGTTTTGAGTTTTTATTGCAAGTATTTCATTTGACTTATTTTTTAATATGCATAATGTGACAATGCAGCTGTAAATCAAGAAGCGAGAGTGAACACATGCATTTCAGTGATGTGATCAGTTTGTGTTACTTGAAATCTATCCAGCTTAAACTTGGTCAAATGGTCTTCAGAGATTCAGTTTGTCCTGATTTCTCCATTTCTCCATTTAATTTCAGATTCTTTTTTTCTTTAAAGAAAAGAGGAAAAGGTATATAATGCTTTTCAGTGCTTTTTAGGAATATAAACGAGAAATCTAAATTCGATCTTTTAATATTTCCATTATTTTCAACATGTTTGTAAAGTTGCTTTCTAATAGAAAGCAACATGGTAATGGAACTATTGTTTACACTTTGTGTCATATAACACAGGATGTGAGCTGTGGCTAGGTTAACTTTTGTGTTTCCTGACTTTGTGGTTCTTTACACACTGAGCGTGGTAAAAATGCGTTTTTAATGAGTAGCCTTCCTTGGGAATCACGGAAATATGGTTCGTGCTAAACTGAGTCACACCTGGTAATGAGATGCTCATAAGAAATGGCAAATTAAAGAGGAAATCGCAGCTCCAGGTATGGACTGATTCCCAGAAATGTACTGCTGTGCGTGCACGTTTTTTCACAGGAGTATCCATTCTATTCTTGAATTGAATTGATAAAATTGGGAAATAAAAAGATTAACAAATTTTCTCTTCAAGGTATGATTTTGATTGGTATTGATGAAGAACACGGCCCTCAGGTATACAAGTGTGATCCAGCAGGTTACTATTGTGGATTCAAGGCCACAGCTGCAGGAGTTAAACAGACAGAGTCAACCAGTTTTCTTGAAAAGAAAGTAAAGAAGAAATTTGACTGGACATATGAACAGACAGTAGAGGTAGGCCAGCAGAAGGAAATAAAGATTTGTTAAAGTATTTTTAATGAATGTGCTGCATGTAGGCTTGCAATATAGAGAAATGCAGGTAGGCATTTCTGCTTTCCTTGCACTTCCGTATTGCTGCCATAGCAAGAATAGCTATTCCAACGAGAAAATCTTTTGAAGGTATTCTGCAGATGTTTAAATAGTCATCTATTCTGCTTTTTCTGCTTTATGTTAGCTGAAGAAGATTCTGTAATTGTAGCACTCCCATTGTAGCTGGTGGTTGGTTACTACAGTGCTTGGTTTTGGGAATACCAGTATGACTTACTTTTAGTCGCATTTAAAACAATCTTCATATTAGAAGGCATTTCAGACAGGATCTTTGCATGATAGAAAGTTGGTTTTGTTGTGTGGTTTTTTTACTACGAAAATGACTTGTCCTTTGCTTTTTGTAGATTGGTCTTTTTAGGGAGAGGAGTGGAGAGGTACTGTGTTCTGTAGCAAGGAAAAACTATTTGGAACTTCTAAGCTGAGGTTTTGAAGTGAAAGGAAATAACTTTAAACCAGAAGGAAGGGTAGTTGTTAATGCTATGTCTATTTAAAAGAAAAGCCTTAGTGCTTTATTTTTAATGATGAGGGGTTTTGTCATCTTTCAGACAGCAATAACATGCCTATCTACTGTACTGTCCATTGATTTCAAACCTTCAGAAATAGAAGTTGGTGTAGTCACGGTGGAAAATCCTAAATTCAGGTAGGTGATCAGTGTTGATAAAACTTGGTGTGTTTCTCTGGTTATTCGCAATTAGTTTTACCTTGTGTAATCGTAAATCAAGAAAAGAGATAAATGCCAGAGGCTGATGTTCTAGAGATTTTTTTACTTGTAACTCTTCAAAACATGTAGGGGTAGAAAACATTGTTTTAAAAAAATAATACATTTTTAAAACGTTTGACATGGTTAAGGGATTCAGTAAAGTGTTCCCTTTCATTTCTTAAAAGGGTATTGTTTTACCTGATGATTGAAATGTAGTTACATCTGGTCTAGTTGTGCTCTCATGGTTAGAAGCATAAAAATCTTTCTTCGTACTGGTAGCTGGAGTTCACTTCCAAATCATCGTCGTGCCAATTAATGCAGTAAAGTCTGGTGTACATTATGAAACATTTACAAGTTCCTTATTTTTTTTAATCCTTTTCTAAATTTAATCTTTAAATTATTCTTGCTCATCTTGTAAATGTAGCAGTTTTTAACATCTCCAGTATATAGTTAATAGAATGTGAATTTGTATGATTTGAAATATTCTATTTAAATTTGACAAGATTAAAAGATCTTGGATTTAAAAAATCACTGTAGTGATTTGGAAATGGCTGAACTTTTACTTCCTGAACACACTGAATTCCTATCCACCATGAAAGCAAGGCACCTGTTATTTCTTCCCTCCCTGATTGTTGCCTGAGTGTGAATGCAGCACACTGTGTGGACCAAGATTACTTGGTCAGTGTGTTAAGACAACACCTGGAAGTCTTCCTGTTGAGGGCAGGAATACTTCACATCGGATACAGTGTACTGGACAGCCTTCTGAAGGCACAATGAAGTATGTGTATAATGCATACAGAAGTATGAATGAAACGTGGAAGAAAAAGCTTTGGGGATTTTTTGTAATGCAAAACAACCCTCCAGATACAGCTTACCTAAAATTTTGATAAGTTTGACTTGCTTCATAGGGGCTCAGTTATTTCTGCCTTAAGCCGTCATTGGTTCTTTTATTTATTTAAGAAGAAAAAAAGAGAGGAACAACTAAATAGGCAATAAAGTCCTCTGCTACTTTAGTCTAATTACTTTGTAAGTGGAGATTGGAGGGAGGCTTCAAACCATTGGGTCCTACAGGTGCAATCTTTTAAATGTTTCCTTCCTAAGGTTTTTTGAAGTTGACACAATGATGGTGGGTGGTTTTACATTTGGTGGTGTGTGCTTAGAACAACAGAATAGCTCAACATCTTTGAGAAAGCGTGCAGGAGCTGTATTACTGCTTTTCTACTGCTGCTCAAGTGTCAAGTGCTAGCTTTCTGACAAACTTTATTTATTGGTCATCTGTCCTTTTCAGAAAGGGCAGATAACAAGCAGAGGGAGAAGGCTATGAAAACATGGAGTAATCATACTACTAATTGCCATGCCCATTCTTCTTACCAGGTCCTAACTTGAAAATGTATTACTTGTGAAGAATTACCTGTTCTGTTTCCACCATTTGTTACCTCCTTTTCTCTAGTGCCTTTGATTATTCCTTTATTTTTCAAAAAGAATTGAAATGTCAGCCTGTGGCCCTGGCAGCAGGACTTTAAAGGGTAGAAAGATGCATTGCTATAAAACTTAATTGTGGAGATATTAGGTGGTAATATTGGAACTTAAGGGGAAGAATCATTTAAGCTATTTAAGATTTCTTTTTGTTCTTTCAGGATCCTTACAGAAGCAGAGATTGATGTGCACCTTGTAGCTCTGGCAGAGAGAGACTAATTAGCATTCCCATTTCCATTGTCTGTGCTTCTGGCCAGGATGGTTGGTGAAAAGAAAACAGTTACTGATGGTTTTAGATTATGGGTGGGAAACAATGTTCGCTATATGATGTATTTTACTCTGTACAAATAAAACAGAGGTTTTTGAAATGTGTTGTATCTCCTTTTAATACAATTTTTTCAACTTTCAATTCTATGAAACTTATCCAAATGCCTGATGATTTTTAGTGTTCTGTGATGATTGCTTGCCTTTTAATTGTATTTTAAGAGAAGTTTTATACTCTGAGCTGTATTTTTCATCTGAGCTATTTGGCTCCTAGTGTAAAGTTATATATCAGTTTTTGTGGTGTGTGTCCCCTGAGATAATTCTTACATTCACATTCATTCTCTCCTTGCCCTGATGTTAAAAGGCTTACAACGTTACTGGTTTAATTGTGGGGAAATTAAGAAGATCTTAATATTTGCTCAGGTTTGTAGGAGGATATAGGGCAAAAACTGAAGGAAAAAGCTTGAGCTGTGAGCTCCAGTCCAGTCCTTTACACTAATTTATTTGGGGTACAGGTAGTGAACAGACGTCTGCTGTAATTAAACAGCTCTGAAGCTAATATTTATTTAGGGAACATATTCTATGTGCATATAGAACACATTCTATATGCAGTGTACTTTAGGATTTTGGCTGTTAGTCACCTACCAGGTTTTGAGGCTTTGGCAGGCAGTGCCAGAAGCAATGCTGGGGCTGGATGTGGCCAACAGACAAAATCCATCAACAAGAGTGTCTCTGTGAAGCAATTGCTCTTGCTCCTTCAGAGATTCTGGGTTAGGAGAGAAGACAGCAAAAACTTGAGTGAAGGTAAAGAAAAATGCATTTTTGTTTTGCTTCAATTGAAGGGGTTCCAGCCTCAGCAGGAAGAATGGAGATGAAGTGGTGAGGAAGGAGACACTGAGGAGAAAGGGAAGATTACCAGACAGTTTTAGCTGTTGCACAGACACGTTGAGTCTTCTTGAAAGAGTGCCAAGCTAATACAACTTAGTTCCTTACCTTCATTCTTCTGCTGTGCTCTTCCCACATTGGCTTTCATTATTCCAAAATTTTCTTTGAATTTTTTTCAAGACCTTTGGGGAAGGCTTCATAAGTCATCAGAAACTGGAATTGTGTAATTTTTTTCTTTGTGCTTTACAGTTAAAGCCCCTTGAATGTGTATTTTTCAAGTTCATTGTAGTAAAGAAGATGCAATTCTGTGTTTGGTGGTTTTAATAAAAGACAATGCTAACCTTATGTGATAACTCAGTTGAAGAGATTCAGATATACTGTGAATTGTTGACTTCACAAAGCTTTTTGAATTTTCATTCATGCCTCTGTGCTTCCCTCATGTCAGATAGTGTAGTACAGATGATAAAATGAAGCACTTCTGCTTCTGGTTTTGGGTTGGTTATCTGAGGATTCTGTGTGGGTTTGTGAAACAGTTGGCACATTTGTGCAACTAATGGCGTGTTTAGAAAGGTGTGTTGTTTCAGCTGTCAGTGATGGCTGAGTTTCTGAAACACTCCAGGATCTTTCTTCCTAATACTCCAGTTGTATAACAACCTGGAATTTGAACAGACTTAGGTCATCATTTATTCTACCATAAAATATAATCCACTGATAATTTGTTCTTGATCAGCTTTAATAATTTATAGAAAACTTCACTAATGACTTCTTGAACTTCCTTGAAAATTAAAAGGAAGACGACAATCAGAGAGCCATATGACTAGAGCTCATTTGCATAGTATTTAGTATCAAAACTCCCTGCAACTCCTTTAATTCTAAATTTTGGAGCTTGTATGGCATTGTATAACTCAGGTGATGGTTCTGAGAGGAGTGGGTGTTTGTTCATACATTGTTTTGCATGCCTGTTTTGCAATGCAGAACAACCCATTTTGTGTTCAGAGATGAGGAAATAAGCTGTCTACAATATATTAGCTGTAAATGTTGCTTTTTTTTAATAAGCAAAGTTAAAATTGCAGCAACTGAAATGTTATTTTTGCTAGTGTTTTCCCTGTAGTGAAAATTCATGATTCTCTTTTCATACTAATAATGGGGATTTTTCTTTTTCAGTCAAAGCTTTTTGTTATTGAAGGTAAGGCAGTAATGCAGGTGGGGATACCTGACCAAATGGGAAAGCCCCGTGTGTTATGCATAACACATAATTACATTTTTCACACCCTGGAGCAGATAGCACCTGCAACCAAACTACCAGCCATAGCTGGTGTTGAGTTGTACCTGTTATCACCTTCTGTTCCAAACCTGGCACTTGCAAAGAAACTAGAGTATGTGTGGTACAATCCTAACACTTCTAATTCGGGTATGGCTTAGCAAGAGCGATACCAGACTTGGGATAGCTCCACATCTTTGTGGTTTGTTGTGCTAGTGCTGAAAACTTACAGATCTAGTTACAGTGTGAATGCATGAGTAGTTAAACAGGAATAGGATCGAGTTTTATTTGCATACTAGACCTAGATCAGTGTTACCTATACTAAATTTGGACTGGCTCTTTACCAGTGTTCTTTATCTGTGTTGTAGTGTAAGGATGTAAATGCATTAGCCAGCTTTCAGTCAACTGGAATGTCTCCAGATTCCTAAGACTATTCAAAAATCATCCAAAGAGGGCTAATGACATCAGATGTCTTTATGAGTATTGTCGCATCCCATCAGGCTCCACAGACTTAGAGCGATCCAGCTAAGTGGTAGATCCCGCACAAGTTCAGGGTCGACTGGGAGTTTCTAATTCTCGCAGCCATGGTCCTCCAGCTCAGGACACTGGGACCCTCTTAGCCTGTCTTTGGTGTTGAAGACAGAGGTAAAGAAGGTATTAAACATTTCTGCTTTTTCTGTGTCCCAGTTTGTGAGGTGATTATTCTTATCCTCTAATGGGCTGATGTTATTTCTGTGCTGTCTTTTCCTGTTAGTGTATTTTAAAAAACTTTTTATTGTCCCCTACATTTCTGGCCAGTTTCAACTCCAGTTGAGCTTTGGGTGCACAAATATTCTCCCTACAGTGTCAAGCAGCATCTTTGTTTCTCTCATGTCACTTGACCTTGCTTCCACTGGGCATACATCTTCCTTTTTTGCCTTAACTCCAAGAGAAGATTCCTGTTCAGCCAAGCTGGCCTTCTGCCTCGCCTGCTTGACTTCCGACATTTTGGAATTGCCTGTTCCTATGCCCTTAGTATAACAGAATAACAGAATATTCTGAGTTGGAAGAGACCCACAAGGATCATCAAGTCCAACTCTTAAATGAACGGCCCATATGAGGATTGAACACACAACCTTGGTGTTATTAGCACCATGCTCTGACCAACTGAGCTAATCTCAGGGTAAAAGAAAAAAGTAATTAGCACTGATGGACCCCAGCACCTTCAAAAGGGTTTTCCCAGGGGACCTTACCAATTAGTTTCCCGAGAAGCCTGAATTCTGCTCTCCTTATGTCCGGAGTTGAGGTTTTGCTAGCACTTTTCCTCCTGTCAAAAGAGATTTTAAACTCAATTGCTTTGTAGTCACTGTGGCCAAGAAGGTCACCAATCACCACTTCACTCGTGAGACTCTCCCTTAACAAGCAACAATCATGTTATAAGGCAGGCAATAGTGAACCTCTCTAGGATTTCAGATACTTCTTAAGAGCAATGTGGTACTGAATCAACTTGTAATGCGTAATATTTGGCCATATAATTTCACTGTAAAGCTGATGACAGTCTAAGGACAGAGTGGTAGATCGGGAGTTTAGGTGCAGTGAGTACATACAGATATATTACAGCAATTTTAATGACATGGAATAATATGTGGCATACTTCTCTACCTTCTTTGTCCTGTTTTTCATTAAGTCAATGTCCAGGTTTACTAAATAAATATTTTGGCTCAGTGCACATTGTTGGAAGTAAGCTGAAAGAACTAGATCTTGCTGGCATCTGAATTAAAAAAGTATTTAACTTTCCCATTTTTTAGCCTGACACAGCAGCAAAGCCTGCTATTTTGAGATCTGTAAAACAGCAGCCTTATTGGGTCATGAGATCAAGTTTTGTGAAGCGTATCCCGTGACAGTGTTCATGTTTTCTTCCAGAAAAAACCCTACACTACCAGGGTAGTAACGGTAGGGGCACTGCTTTTCATTTTGTAATCAGTGATCTTGGGGTTTTTTTCAGGTGGAAATTTTTAAATTGTCATAGCTTGTTCCAGCCAGTTCTTGCTAGTAACAGTTTGTTCTGTTCTCTTGTTTTGCTGTAACCTAAACTACTTGGAAACAATGCAAGACATCCTGTAGCTGAGGATCTGTTGCAACAGTGAACTTAAACCTCTCATGCCTAAACTAAAACAAGGACCATCACATGCTCATGCAAAACTGTTTAAAATAGTGTCTGGATGTTGTTTATTTATCGTGGTTCTCATATTTTAAAAAAAACTCCATTAAACACTTTAGCCTGTCCTTTGTAAGTATATCTGTACAGATAGACTTGCATTTTTAAGAGACTGTCAAACCCCTCAGTTATTAGCAGTATTTGCTGCTGTTCACCAAGCTTTTCATAGCATAGTAATCTTTTCTCTAGTAGTAGTCTTAGCTGTGTCACCATCATCTATGAAAATTCTGTGCTGCAATGTTAAATACAGGAACTCTGCTGTTCTTGACTATAAACATGTTGAATAAATAGAGCCAGCATATCACTAAATCAAAATCCAGCTAACTGCTTGGCAGAATTGAGTCATCTGCAAAGTAGATCGTGCTTCCACTTTTTGGGGATAGTGTTTTTCTCCTGGTCCTTTTAAGAATCTGCCATCCATAGCTGAGCTTCCTGGCACTGCAGCTGCACTACTTGTCCATCTTCTACAGCTCATTGTGACTTAGTAGTTCGTTGAACCACAAGCATCTGGAATGAAGTTTCCTATCTAAGCCTCTAGCAGCATAGTGTGCAGTGCAGGTTAGTACACACAAGCCAAGATCTAATTTTTTTCACCAGCAAATTGTATCTGTTTTCCAGAAAATGGAGTCTTATGACACCTACTGGAATAGAGAATTGTAAACATAAGGTATTTAATCCTTATGGGATTCCTTAGACTAGAAAGCAACCCTCTCTCAAGTTAGAGAGTCAAACTTACTAGTTGTGGATGGAGAAACATGGCA